GCGAGGTATTGCATCCAGAAACCTATCCTCTCGGAAAACCTCACCGTGTAAACTAATGCCTTACCTAATGCTTTCTTCAGTTTTCACGTCCTAAGTACTTTTACTTATCGACAATTACAAGAATAGCTCCACTTACATGAATGCTGCGACCATTTACGCCCGTACGACCATCCACTCTCGACCCTCAGAAGCAATCTATGGATTCATTTCAAGTAGTTGTCTTTGCAGCCACGTTCTTTGTTGCTTATACTTGTTAAAAGGCTAAACAAAATCTATAAAAGTGTTCTTGTTGCCCAATGTGAACTCATGGAATCGGCCAGCATTTCCTGATTTTCGCTTCACATTCAAGCCATCGGTCTTAAATTGTGCACATTGGCCCGGCCACCCACAGTTCGGCTACAAATCCTGTCTCCCCCCCACCTCCTGTGACTTCTTCTTCTTGTGAACACTCTGTGAGATCCTGCAGCGCCTTCTCTGCTTGTGACGGGAGGCAATTTAACTAACTGGGTCGGAGCGGTACAATCTCGTGACGTGGAACAGAGACGCACATTTTCATGCGAGCGAGAAACCTACCACAGGGCCAAACTGCCGTCGAAAACCAAATGCCTGAAAAAGGATCACCGCCCTGGAAGGGCAGTTTCGATATCTTTTTTTTTCTAGGGTGGAGAGGGCGCTTAAAATACGAGCTCCATCGGACATTCATGAAACACCCACATCCACCGCATGCGCCAGGAAATGAATGCAGGACAGGGACTTGTGCGTGAATTAGTTTATTGTGAGGCAGACCTCCGCATCATCTACGGCGTTCCCTCACCTCTCACTCACCTTGCTCTGATGGCAAGACAATGTTAAGAAAACCGGAGATGAGCTTGGCGCAATGGCTGCCAAAACTTGACACTCCGGTAAGGATAGGTTTTAGGCCCGGGGTCACTTGCTTCGGGGAGCAATTGTGCTAAAAGTAAATGGTTGGCAATATTTATTTGTACGTGCCAGAGGATGGAATAAAAAAGACCTCTCGGTGGCTGCTGCGTTAGAATGGTCAATAAGCATTAAGGCGTTCATCTGAGTAAAAATACGACAATGCAATGTCTTTTTGGCAATGCCTCCAAGTGGGCATTACATTTATTTATTATTATCATTAAACGGTAAAAATAGTGTCCCCTTTTGAGTGGTGTCAGTATGGAGGATCAGAATTTGTGATACCACAAAGTTCTTGGATGTTCGGTTCCTTTCCTCAGCCCAATTGATCCCTGGAGTAAGTGGCCCCGGGCGTAAACCATACCATGGTGGAAGGGGGCGCTCACCGATCGTTCTTACGGAACTCACTCGTTCCGTTGTGCTTTAGGGCTCTCTCTCTCGAGTCCAACCAACAGCCGCACAACGGCGCATGTTATAGGCAGAATGTTACTACTGACAAAGACCGGGAAGACTGGAATGGTCGTTTCTGGCTTATTAGCCGTCGTCAGCCAGTCATACCCAACCCCGAAGTGTGCAATACCCGAGGTTCGAACTCGCGACCTGTTAGTTAGAAGTCCAGGCCTCTAACCACTGGGCCACGAGCCCGTTGCACTGTCGGTTTTCGATCGGAAATATACTCTTGCCGACGCTCCATCTACGTCTGCCACAAACGACATTTCGACCGTCGTTGCTGACGATGTCCACCATGTGCTCCACAGCAAGGTGAGAGTAGAGGCGGTAACTTGTGCATAATTTGGTTTATAATGAATGTGAACTTGCACAGCACCTACCGCACTCCCTCCTCCTCCTCCGCCTGGACCCGGTGTCAAGACAGAGTCAAGAAGACCGGAGACGAGGGAGGCCGCAGGTGGATGGCTCGGACGGATCCTCACCTTGGCGTTCCACCACACCCCCTGGTCCACACAACAATAACCAGGATTTCAACCAACACAACAGAGATTTGGAGGCTGGCACGGCCGAAGCCGCACCTGGGCGTGCCGCCAACGCCTGGCTCGGATCCCACACTGTGGTAGGAGTGCCATAGAGGCCACATTAAAAAGGAGCCATTGCAGCCTGACTCTCAGACCGTCTCCCGTTAAGGAGGAGGTCCAAGGTACCCCGTCAGTTGGCAACCTTCCAAGCCACGGCTTTTAGCGCACCGTGATAGCTTCAAGCGCGTCAGATTGTTTATAGTGAGGAGAAAGTGCGCTGAGTCGTCGACCTCACTCTCCCTTCCCAATCCCACACCCCAGCCGCTCTCCGAGCCGGTCAGCAGACTGGAGTGGGGAATGGGCGCGGTGGCTGACATGGTCGACTGACCATGCCTGCGCGCGCCACAGCACGACCTGGCCCCCCAAACACACACAAACACCAGGATTTCACACAACGGGGGTTGAACGGCGTGTCTCTCACTTGCGTGAGAGTGCCGTGGAAGGTGCTGTTTCAGCTCGTCCCCAGCCCACCAGTCCGCCACTACACACAACACACACACACAACGTGACGAACTGCGTGAACCGAGAGCGGGCCTCAATCAGCAACCTTCCTATCCACGACACTTGACGTGTCGGGATAGTCTCGGACACAAGTCACCCGTGCAGCCGAAGCCGCATGGGGACCGAGTCGAGATGCACACTTCCCACTTGCGTGGGAGGCGGCAGTTGAGTGCATGAGGTGTGTGAGGGTTGATGTCTGGTGGGGTACTGGTGTTAGGAGGTAGGGGGTGAGGGAATGTGTGGTGTGACCGGCGGTTGTCAACCGCAGGTCGTCGTGGATGCGCATGTGGCCGAATAGACCCATGCGATGCGTGAAGGTGCGAGGGCAGTGTGGGCAGTGGAGGCGAGTGCGGTGGGTGTAGGTTGGTGCTCCAGGCACTGGTTCGCCAGTCTCTGTGCGATGGATTCGCAAGTGACCGACCAGGCCGATGTGTGAGGTGAAGGTGCGTGGACAATGTGGGCATGAGAGGTTGGCGGTGTCGGTGTCAGCGGTAGAGGAAGCAGTGGTGTTGGTGGTGGCGGCGGTGGTGGTGGTGGTCAGCGCGTGTGACGGTGGAGCGAGGATGGGTCTGGGCGTGGTGGATGTGTTGGATGTCGTGGCTGTATCGGAATTGTGGTCAATGCCGCTCTCGTGGATGCGCATGTGGCCGAATAGACCCATGCGATGAGTGAAGGTGCGAGGGCATTGTGGGCAGTGGAGGCGAGTGCGGTGAGTGTAGATTGGTGCTCCAGGCACTGGTCCACCAGTCTCTGTGCGATGGATTCGCAAGTGACCGACCAGGCCGATACGAGAGGTGAAGGTGCGGTCGCAGTGAGAGCAGGTGTAGTCCTGATCCTCATCACTGGAATCGGGAGAGGTGGGGGTGGTGGCGGTAATTGTGTCGGGGTTGGTGATGTGTGAGACGGCAGTCTGAACGGCCGCCGCTGGGGCAGTGGAGGAGAAGGAGGAGGATGGAAGTGGTGGTGCAGAAGGAGTGTCAGAGTTAGTTGGCGGAAGGGAGGAGGAAGAGGCGGGCGGGGGGACGATGGCTGGAGCAGTTCGAGAGGTGCAGTTGGTTCGAAGATGTCCAACAAGTCCGATTCGTGCCCGGAATGTCCGTTGACATCGAGGACACGTAGGTGGAGGTTGTGTGGCGGCGTTGCGGACTGGGCGAAGTTGTGATTTGCGGGCTTCGCGTTTCGCTTTGGCGGCGGCGATTCGGTTGGCTTCATAGATAGCAGCGCCCGTCTTCACTGTTCTCCTCCATGTCGGACGATCGCGAGCGAGCTCTTGCCAGTTGGTCGGGTTGATTTGCAGGCGCTTCAGGGAGGACTTCAGAGTATCCTTGTAACGGCGAATTTGGCCTCCTTGACGACGAGAACCCGTCGCGACGTCTCCGTAGAAGAGTCGTTTGGGTAGTCGCTCGTTGTCCATGCGCACCAGGTGGCCGCTCCAGCGCAGCTGCATTTGTTTCAGTATGGCGTAGATGCTGGGGATTCCCGTTAGTTCCAGTACTTCCGTGTCGGGGATTCGATCCTGCCAGTTCAGTCTCAGGATGCGACGGAGACAACTGAGGTGGAAGTGGTTCAGTCGGCGTGCCTGTCTCGTGTACACCGTCCATGTCTCTGCTCCGTACAGTAACGTCGGCAGGATGACGGCCTTGTACATCTTCAGTTTCGTGCTCAGTTGGAGACCGTGGCGATTCCAAACTGTGCTTCGGATGCGTCCGAAGGCTTGACTGGCTTTCGAGATCCTGTTGGCGACTTCGTCATCAATCTTAGTGTTGCGGGAGAGGGTACAGCCCAGATACGGGAAGTTCTCCACCACTTGCAGTTGATTTCCGTTCACGCTGATTTGCGGCGGCGCGTTGGGGCCTGTGGCTGAGTTGGGCGGCGGTTGGTGCATCACCACCGTCTTCTGCGTGTTGATGACCAGCCCAAAGTTCTCGCAGGCGGCGGAGAATAGGTCCATGCTCCGTTGCATCTCCTCTTCTGAGGTGGTGTTCAGGGCGCAGTCGTCGGCGAAGTGGAGTTCGTGCACGGTGGCTGTGGATACACGCGATTGGAAGTTCATGCGCCGGTGATTCAGGAGATGACCGTCCGTTCTGTAGGCGATGCGGATTCCAGGGCGTTCGTCGCGGTAGGCGTCCATCAGCATGGCAGAGAACATAAGACTGAAGAGGGTTGGTGCCAGCACACAGCCCTGCTTCACTCCATTGGTTACTGCGAATGCCTCTGAGACAGCTCCGTTGTCCGTGACTCGCGCCATCATACCGTCGTGCAGCTGACGCACCATCTGAGTGAATCGCTCCGGACAGCCGAATTTCTGCATGATCTTCCACAGTCCTTCACGATTCACCGTGTCGAAGGCTTTCGTCAGGTCCACGAAGGTAGAGTACAGGTGGGTCCGCATCTCCTGGCACTTCTCCTGAAGTTGGCGGGCTGCGAAGATCATATCCGTGGTCCCACGATGACGACGGAAGCCGCATTGGCTTTCCGGCAGGAGGCCCTGTTCCAGATGGTTATTGAGGCGGTTGAGCAGGATGCGAGCGAAGATCTTCCCTGCGATGTTCAGTAGGGAGATGCCGCGGTGGTTGTCGCAGACTTGACTATTCCCTTGAAATCTTGCGGGACTTCACCTTGACGCCACATCTCCTGGAAGAGCGCAGTCAGGTGATCCATCAGTAGGGGACCTCCGTGCTTGTAGACCTCAGCAGGGATGGCGTCCGATCCGGGTGCTTTCCCGCTGGAGAGTTGCTGCACGGCCCTGATGGTCTCCGGCAGAGATGGCGGGAGGTCGAGGTCCGCGTTGGTCACCACTTGCGGCAGGCGGGCGATGGCGGCGTCGGAGATGACGGAAGGGCGGTTGAGGACGCCTCGGAAGTGCTCGGCCCATCGCTGTAGGATTTGCGTCTTCTCAGTTAGGAGAGTGCCGCCGTCAGCGCTGAGGAGAGGAGCAGTGCCCTTCGTCGGCGGACCGTAGACAGCTTTGATCGCGGAGAAGAAGTTCTTCCATTCGTTGCGGTCTGCGTACCCTTGGATCTCCTCAGCTTTGCGAGCAGTCCAGGCGTCCTGCATCTCGCGCAGTCGTTGCTGAAGCTGTCGGCGACTGCGGTAGAAGGCAGCTTTGTTGTCCTCAGTGGGGTGATCTACGTAGGCTTTGTGTAGGCGGTTCTTCTCAGCAAGCAGATTTCTGATGGCGACGTCGTTGTCGTCGAACCAGTCCTGGTGTTGGCGGGGAGCGCGACCGAGGACGGCGAGCGCCGTCGACTGGACCGTGTCTCGCAGCTGACACCAGCGGTTCTCCACGGAGGCGTTCTCGACAGCGGCGGCGTCGGCAGTGATAGGAAGGTTGTCTAGCCGTTGAGCTAGCTCATTGCTGAAATGGAGACGGTGAGCAGGCAAAGACAACAAAGCAACATTCAGCTTACCTGGGGGTCGCTTACCTTGTGGTCTCCTGCGAGGCTGTAGGCGAATACGCATCTTCGAGATGACGAGGCGATGATCGGTCCACCCATCAGCACCCGCGATCGCCTTCGTCACCAGCACGTCCCGCTGATCTCGCCTCCGGACGAGGACATAGTCCAGCAGGTGCCACTGACGCGACCGAGGATGCCTCCAGGTGGCCTTCTCTCGCTCCGGCAGACAGAAGAACGTGTTCGTCAGGATGAGGCGGTGTTCTGCGCAGGTGCGGAGGAGAAGCAGGCCGTTGTCGTTGGAGCCGCGGAGACCGTGAGGACCCAGCACTCCCCTCCAGGCAGTATGGTCTGTGCCGACGCGGGCGTTGAAGTCACCAAGGACAATCAACTTGTCCGCCTTCGACACAGTCGCCAAGAGGGCGTGCAGGTCCTCGTAGAATTTGTCTCTGACGGCGTCGGGGTTGGTCATCGTCGGAGCGTAGGCGCTGATGATGGTGGCGAATTTGCCTCCCCAGAGAGGCAGGCGGAGGCTCATCAGGCGATCGTTGATGCCCTGCGGCAAACAGGGCAGTCGTCCCACGATGTCGGTCCGGATGGCGAAGGCGACGCCCGCGTCTCGTCGCTCTGCCCTGGGTCGGCCACTCCAGAAGAAGGTGTAACCGGCACCCACCTCCTCCAGTTGGCCTTGTTCGGAGAATCGGGTCTCGCTGAGTGCGGCGATGTCCACCTTGTAGCGCGCCAGTTCTCGTGCCACTAGCGCCGTCCTCCGTTCCGGACGGTTGCTCCTCGGATTGTCTAAAAGGGAACGAACATTCCAGGCTGCCAGAGTGAGCGGGCTCACCCTGTCAGTCTGGGGAAAACGAGTGGGGCGATGGGAAGGAGGTGGAGAAGAAGATGACGAAGGAGAAGAATAGGCAGAAGAATAGACAGAGGTAGAGGTAGAAGAGGTAGGATGAGGAGAACGAGTATGGTTGTTGTTGTTGTTTCGAGTTTGATTGTTTCGACCGTGAGTTTTGCGTCTGCGACCACGGTGCGCCAGCAGACGACGTGGTTCCCCAGCAATTTTTAGGCCAGCTTTTCCAGGCCCCCCCGAAGGAAGCAGTGCCCTGACCCCTGAATAGGGGCTGCTTGATGTGCCGGCGCGGCCGAACTCCACTGTGGGCCACGAGTTTTTTTGGCAGTGGAAGAACGACTCGAATTTGCCAATGGCTTACGGCATTGCCGCAAGCCTGCGGTCTCCTACGGTGCACCAGATGGGCGCGTGTCGACGGTGCCAATTCGGAGATCCATCCCGCCGGCTGATCAACGGCGTACCAGGCGGAGCCTCGTCTAGACGATGCCGATGCGACGTTCCACCACCAACCGGCTGACCAGCGGTGTGTCAGACAGAGCCTCGTCACGACGGCGCCGACGCGGTGTTCCATCCGACCAACCGTCCACGGAGTCCGCAGTCACCTGTGCACGCGGCACAACGCGCACAGGGAGTAACCGCCCTCACCTGGTTTAGCCCGCCGGTCGAGACGGTTGCCCGGGGTGTGGCCGCTGAGCAGAGCCCAGCTACGTGGAGCCACAGGTGAGAGTTGAGTGCCAGCAAGTGGACGCTAGGCGTAGTCTCACCTGCAAGCAAGTGAGCGACCACTACGACCTTCACGTGAACCCACCGCTGAGCACAAACGGGCCGTTCGTAGAGGCGACCCAATATCTCAAATCGCCACTCACACGCTGGAGGAAGGTCATGAGTTCGACTTCGCCAAAACAAGGATATTGACGCGAGCCGGCAACAAGACGGAGCGAGAAGTGTTGGAGGCGTGGGTGTCGGACACGAACTCTATCAATAGACACATTGATTTGCCGGCGTGCTATAACGCACTCCGCCCCCGCAGCCAGGTGGCGCAGCTCACATCGCCGCGACGTACAAACGTCGTCACCACGCCGGGGGGACCATTGTGGGTCAGGCGGCACAAACCAGACCCAGCCACGGACGTAGTCCTTCTCCCCTCACGGCACAACGATATAAATGTTCACACGCTGCTGCACTCTAGCAGTCTCTGATGATGAATTCCCGTTCGAGTTCGGAAGCTAAGGCCAATAAATCTACCGTTTCAGGGATCGTGCCTTCGTCTTCTTTTAAACAAGAACCTGGGATGCGCATATTCTCCTCCATTCGTGAAAACGCGGTATGACACGGGAATAACGACTACCTGTAGTGCGGTGGACCAAAGCTCCCGATAGAAGGGGGAGCCCGCGTGGCAGCAGTTTTTCTGAATTACCCGGCAGACAAGAGGCTAACGGTGAACTCTGCGCACAAAGCATACTGCACTCAGGCGCTCCTCAAGCAGAGTTAAACAGAACAGCGTAACAGAGGGCCAGTCAATTGAGATCACTTTTCTTAAGGATCAGACGCGTAAACGCACTGTGGTGCACTAGGCGTAAGTCCATACACAGCTTCCTGACGTCAGTAGGCGCAAATACGTCACAAAATGAAGGACCAATTGGACTCGGTGGATAAATCTGGTGTTGCCTAACGTATTCCATGTCCGAACTGTTCTTGCAGCTGCAGACAGGAGCAACCGGCGGGCAGTTGGTGTCAGGCGTACGCCAACACAGAACAGCTGTGATCTGGAGCGGCCAGCTCTCACAAGTCGTCGCCCACACTCTCCTGTAAAGCGGATCGCCCCCCTTTGACTTCACCGCCGCTGCCATCGCCGTCGTCACCGAGAAACTCGTCCGAGCAGTGCGAGAGAGGAGTTGCGAGCCGAAGAAACCCCGAACAGCCCACACACGCACACACACACACACACACACACACATACACACACACACACACGACAGTTCGACCATCGATTTCGATGATGTCCACTATGTGCTCCACAGCAGGTGGGAGCAGAGACGATGACTTGCGCAGGGGTTTATAGTGCCAGTAGACTTGCGCTGCATTTACCTACACTCTCTCCTCCTCCCCCGCCTGAGACCGGTGTCAAGACCAAGTCAAGAAGACCGGAGACGAGAGAGGCCGCAGGTGGATGGCTCGGACGGATCCTCACCTTGGCGTTCCACCACACCCCCTGGTCCACACAACAAATGACCAGGATTTCGACCGCAAAACAATGGGGTGATGGCAGTGGTTCACTTGTGCGGCTACTGCCGACAACGAGGTCTGCCAGAGCACCCCGCAAATGTTGGCATTTGTTATTGCGCACAGATAACACTTGCCAGAGTCCGATGTGGCCCCCGTGTTGGTCCAGCGCATCTAACACGTGGCCCGTTTTGAGGACACACACACACACGGCGTGGTACTCATTGCATGCAGCAGGCTTTCATGAGGGCAACTCAAGCCCCAATTCATCAGGAGTGTGTCATCTGTGCCGTATTTAGAGGCATCATTGCAGCCCGACGCTCGGTCTTGAGAAGGCCGAGTTGCCCCCTCGACTGGCGGCCCTCCAAGCCGCGACTGCAAGCGCGTCGTGGCTGATTCAAGCTCCCTCCACCCCGCCCGCCCCCCCCCCCTCCATGCACCAGCCAACTGTCTGATTCCGTCAACTAACCGGTGATAGAATCAGACGCAGCGGGTGACGTGGCATGACGACCTATAGTAGATGACTTAACTCATTAAATATCTTGATCAGACGGCATATATTTGGTGTGATCAATTTTGTTTTTAGAATTTATTGGAATCCCAGAAAACCCTTTTCCGAAGAAGAGGCCACGTTGGGTCAGTTTTATTTAGGGGAAGCAGGCCAAACGTTTTGAGGTTTCCGGATATAGGCAGTGTGCTATTACCGACAAAGACAAGGGAGACTGGAATAGCCATTTCTGGCATATTAGGCGTCGTCAGCCAGTCATACCCAACCCCAAGATGTCGAACACCCCGAGGCTCGAAATCGCGACCTGTTCGTTAGAAGTCCACGCCTCTAACCACTGGGCCACGAGCCCGTTGCTCTGTCGGTTTCGATCGGGAATATACAATGGTAGGGGGCGCTCACCGTTAGCGGCGTGGACTTCTAACTAACAGATCAGGAGTTCGAGCCTCAGGTGTTCCACACTTCGTGGTTGGGTATGACTGGCTGACGACGGCTAATAAGCCAGAAATGGCCATTCCAGTCTCCCTTGTCTTTGTCGGTAATAACATACTGCCCATATCATTCGCCGCTGTACGGCTGCTGGTTGGGCTCGAGAGGGAGCCCGTAAGGCACAGCGGAATGAGGGAGTTCCGTAAGAACGATCGCTGAACGCCCCCTATCTTTGTTTGCGGATATCCACGTAATTTCCTATTCTAGTGAGTGTCACCTGGTAAAACCCCTTATTTGCACGCGTTGCATTATAAAGAAAATTTCACATGGTCAAGAAAAATATCAAAGAAGCCCACTGTGGAAGTGGTAGTTGTTATCTTTAGTTCATAAAAATCAGGTCAAGTCAAGTGTATAAAAACGGATTCTTTTCATGAAACGAGAAGTAATTTGCTCTTTACAAATTCTATTTAGCAAAATTGTAACATTTTATATCCTTAAGCACAGTAATAAGCTTTTTCGACAGTATTTGCTTCACTACATCGGGAACTAGTAGGCGTAAACACGTATATGTAGATTGCGCGCTATATGTTGTCGCTTTGCTTTGCCACGTCGTGCAGCAAAGATGTAGAAACAGTTCCGATCGGAAGTTGACTTTGAGCGGATACGAAAATTGACAGGCGAAGGGCTGCCACATGAGTCGTTAGCTAGTATTTTCAATACCAGTCATGTCACTCTCTGGAGAATTATTAATAATAAAACAGTGCCTAGAGCTAAGCGAGGCGGGCCAAAACAGTCCACAAGCAAGCAAGAAGACGATTTCATTCGTCGGACACTGAAAAAGCATCATTAGGTGCCTCTTAAGGCTATTTACAGGGAACACATGTCAATGTTTTCTTTGCGTATAGTTAGAAAAATAATGACAGAATTTGGCCTCCGTCAGCCAAATGCCATGACAAAGCCATTCTTAAGTGGGAAATTTATTAGAGAACGTTTTTTGTTTGCTCAAAAATTCATTGATCACAGACACCCATTTTGGAAAAGCATGGCCCAGGTGGCCATGTGTGGGAAAAACTTCCCATGAGAGCGCACTATATCGACGCCAGCTTTCAAGAACTGTCGACGTCTGATGGTTTGGATGGCCATCAGATTCGGAGGCCGGCCGGTCTGACACTCACCAACGAAGACGATAAAAAGTAAGGTGTTCATCGACATCGTGGAGGATGCCTTCGGTTACAACGAAATTCATCGATGTCTAGTGGACGCCGCGATGTTGCAGGATAATGCCCTTGTTCACCGCTCAAAGGAGGTAAGATTCCAATTCAGCTTACGATTATAATCTAATATTTTAGACCACAGCCAACCTCTCCGCCTGCGATCTTCGAAGAATTTTTATTCCCGTCAACAGCCCAGACCAAAATCCTAGCGAAAATCATTTTGAATTAATCAAAAGAAATTGGAACAAGGCAAGCGAACATCTTTCAATGGAGAAAAAGTTAGCCTATTTACGTAATACTTGTATGGACCAAAACACCATAGACACCTTGGTAGTCTCCATGCTCTCTCGCCTTATGACAACTTTAACAGCCAATGGACAAGCGACAAAGTACTAATACGCTGTCTTTGTCACTGTTTTTTATCATTTTTTCGTTGCTAGACATTGTCCTTCTCTGTTCACACTTATATTAGGCCTTGCACAGAGTAGCTTTTTGATTTGGCAGTTTTTCGTAAAATAAATTTTTTCTTGGTCAGTGAATAGTACTTTATAAATCAGGCTGTGTCTCGCTTTGAAGCTTGGTCGTATATTTAACGCAGTATAACTTTCGTGGATGCGGGGTGTGGCGTTTCATGAGCAACAACGACAGGATGATGGTTCTATAAGACGTTCCGTCTTCCATAAGAATACTTGGAAGGGACATTACTTGCATTTTTGAGTTTTGTACCTATACAATGGAAACGTAACTTGGCATACGCTCTATTCCAAAGTGCTAAGAACATTTGCTCCAATGACACACTGGATGAAGAAGTTGCACGCCTCAAAGAAGCTTTACTTAAACGAGGATATCCCGCACGGTTCATCCACAAATACAGCAACTCTACACGGCCAAAACTGACTGAACATTTAGTTCCGAAAAAGCCCGTCTTTATATCGTTGCCCTTTAAAGGCGACAATATTTTAAATACTATCAAACGACGGCTACGTTCAGCCATTGAAAGGACATACAATGCAGCCGAACTAGTATTATGCAGTCCTACTAAGCCACTTCCGATTCTACGGGCAAAGGATGCCTTGCCAATGCACGCCACTTCAAATTGTGTTTATGAATTCACATGCTCTTGCGGATGTAAGTACATTGGGCGAACGCAAAGGCAGTTGTCAGCCAGGTCTATTGAACACCTGCCCAGATGGCTCCTAA